GCCCCAAGCTGTCCTGGAACTCACTATGTAGACCAGGCTGCCCTTGAACTCCTCCTGCATCTGATCTGCCTCCTGAGTGCTGGGATTAAAGGTGTGCACCACCACACCCAGCTAGACAGTGATTTTAAATAACAACTTCAAGGTACTTAAGGATGGGGTTAATTTTCTTTCTTTTTTTTATTTTTTATTTTATGTGTATGAGTGTATTGCCTGCATGTGTATAAGTGTACTTGTGTCATACAGTGCCCATAGAGTTCAGAAGTTGTCAGATCCTTGGAACTGGAGTTAGAGATGGTTGTTAGCTGCTATGTGGGTGCTGGGAATCAAACCTGGGTCCTCTGCAAAAGCAGCCAGTGCTCTTAGCCGCTGAGCCATCTCTCCAGCCCCAAGATGGGGATCATTTTCATGATACAATATTTAAAGACAAACAGGATGAAATTTGTTGACATGCTTTATAAACACTGTTCTCCATCATATGACATGTGGATGCTTGTGTCTTCGTAGGGAAAACTGGAATGTCAAGGAAATTAGTAGTCACTGCCTTTTTATTTGGGGACTTTTTTGTGTGGTTTTTGTTTGTTTGTTTGTTGTTGTTGTTGTTTGAGACAGGGTCTCTCTGTAACCCCAGCTGCCCTGTAGACTAGGCCGGCCATGATCTGCCTGCCCCTGCCTCCTGAGTGTTAGGATGAATGCATGCACCACCAATCTCAGCCCTAGTTATTATCTCTTGATGGTAAAATGCACATTAATTTTTGTGTTTTATAAAATCCTTACAATGGACATGTACTATTTGATCTTTTTAGTGGGTTGCCATTTACTTGCAATGCTGGGGGTAGGAGAGAACACAGTGTCATACACATGCTAGTCCAGTCCTTTTAGTGTTTTAAATAATCAACAAGGCCCCTTTGAGTCTCCTAAGTGAAACTACAGTAAGCTCTATAAAATGCTTTATTTGGGGGCTAGAAAAGTGGCTCAGCTGTTAGAGTGTATACCACTCTTCTAGAGGACATGAGTTTGGTTCCCAACACCCACACTGGCGACTCCCAACTGCCTGGAGCTCCAGCTCCAGGGGATTTGACACTCTCTTCTGGACTGTGCTGACACCTGCACTTGAAGGCACATGTACCCATACATACACACACACACACACACACAAACACAGACACCCATATATACGCACAGACACCCACACATATGCACATAATTAATAATAAAAAATGCTTTATTTGGGTCACTAAGCATTTTGTTGCCTACCTGCTATGTCATGAAATACAGATCCAGCCGGCATCCAGAGTTGGGCTTTGCCCTAAAGTGATTCTGTCCATGGAGGAGAGACCCAAAGACAGTCTCCACCCACTGTGATAGGCAACTTGCTCAGTGACCATAAAAGGGTGTCTTCGACAGGAAATAAGGCCACTGTGGGGGCAGAACCAGGTGGGGGAGGTGGCCGGGAGGAAAGAAGAGCAGGCTTAGGAAGAAGATGATGAATTCAGCTCTAAGCATCCTGAAGCAGGGCTGCCTATGGGTAGTGTGAGGGGGCAGTTGAGTCTCATTCTCAGAAATGAGGATAGGATAGGGATATGGCTTGGTAAAGTGTTCGTCTAGTGTGCACAAAGCCCTGAGTTCGATTCCTGGCCCTGTATAAACCAGGTTTGGTTGTATGGGGTATGGTTGTATAGACCTGTAATCCCATCACTCAGGCAAGGTGATCAGAGGTTCAAGGTCATGCCTGTTAACACAGTGAGTTCCAGTCCAGTCTGAGTTACATCACACCGTGTCTCAAAATTTTTTTCAAGAGGCAGATAGCAAGAGATAGAGGTTGGAAGGCAGTTAGTGCATCAGAGAGTGGGTGGTGGTCGAAGTCTTGAGTCGGTGTGGAGTGACATCTCCCCACATGGTATGTAAAGAAAGGAGGAAGGGGGCAAGAACGGAACCGGACAACCACCAGCAGACTGGAAGGGGTGTCTGAGGGGGACAGAAGGAGCAGAGAGATCCAGAAAGAAGATAGGCCAAGGGCAGAGGGGCTGTTCTCTATCCAGGGTTAATCCATGAGATCCAGAACTGCTCTTTAGTAACCACATACACTCTTTAGGACCATGTACGTCCTCTGGGGAAAATTGTAAATCATGTCAGTTGGCCGCTTTCCCAACCTGCTTCTCATATGCAAACTTAACATGAGCTGAATTTCCTGCTGATGGCAGTTCTGTAGCACCAGCCCAGGCTTCCTGGAGACCAAGTAATGGGGTTTCCTGGCTGAACTTATCTATGGCTACATTGTAACTTACTGATTCTTTTTTAAATTTAAGACTACCCTCAAACTCTTGGCAATCCTCCTGCCTCAGCCTCATGAGTACTAGGATTCTAGGCAAGCACCAACATGCCCTGGTGATTTATTTTTCTCCCCGTGGGCATTTGGTTGCTTCTTGGAGCAACTGGCTGAATGTCACGCTTGCTGTCCTGCACCTGAGCACACATGCTCTAGGACAGCAGTGTCCAGAGTAGCCCTTGGATATTCTCAGAGACCCTCCTACAGGAGATCTGGGCTTGGGGTGAAGCTCACTGCTGGGGCACAGGCTTAACATGAGAGACCCTGAGTTCCTTCCTGACACCACAAAGGAAAAAAAGAGGAAGTATGTAAATCAGAACTGTCTTCATGATTGCACCAAGATGCAGTTTGTCCCTTTCCTGTGACCACGCCTGCACTAATGGTACAGATGCAACAGTGGTCAAAGCTGCCAGGCCTGTGCAGAGTCCAGGGAGGCACCAGGCAGCTGTCATTTCTGTGCACCCCCCACCCCTTGAAACACCGTGCACCACAGCAGGGACAGACCCAGCACTGATTTCCTGTCTTTGGTGAGCAGTAAGAAATGCATTTTTATTAAATTCTGACCCTGACGACACATCTTTATGGTATTTTTATTGTTCTTTTTGTTTGAGATAGTCTCTTTGTTGCCCAAGCTGGCCCCAGATTCTTGGGTAAAGTAATGCCTCTACCACATCCTCTCAAGTAGCAGGGCCGCTTTGGGGGATGAAACAGTTGGCAAAACTTGAATGGGATGAAACAGGAAACATATGTGCCGCCACCTGTCTGCTCAAGTACTGAGGTTGTCTTGACCAGTGCTTTGCTCGGGACTCAGCCAACCACCTTTTAAGTTGCAGTGCTTTCACTTGGAAGAGTACCTCTTCCTTCCATAGATGTTTTCAGAAAAATGAAGTAAGCGGAACTCTTCAAGAAAAGAATGAGGAGCCACGCGTGGTGTCACAGTTAATCCCAGTACTCAGGAGGCTGAGGCAGGCCAATCTCTGTGAGTTCAAGGCTAGCCTGTTCTACATAGTGAGCTCCAGGCCAGCCAGGCCTACAGAATGAAAGACCTGTCTCAAAAAAAACAAAAAGGAAAAAGAAAAGAAAAACCCACAACCTATGGTGCTTGTTGCCAGTAATAAAATTCAGACTTCTAAGACCATCAGAATCTTGAAAAGCTTGCACTGGCCTGCATGAATTGAGGCAGCGTCACAGAACTTTCTGTTGGGGTTGGCTCATCAGTGTGATGTGGTTGTTTTTGATATAGATGTCATGAACTTTGCCACCAATTGGAAGCTCAGTGCTGCAGCTCTCCACGTGAGCAGTGCTGTCAGAGTCATGCCGTGATAGAATGAATGGTGAAAAGACCCTTTCAGCTTGGCAGGGCGGCACATCCCCATAACCCAGCACTCAGCAAGCTGACGGAGGAGGAGCAGAAGTTTGAGGTCAGCCAGGACCACATAAGGAAACTCAAAAAATTACACACAAAAAAAAATCCATTCTAAGTAAAAGGTGATTGATGGATTTAAACTTGAACTACTTGGATTTATTGAATCCATAAGGCAGCTAACCCTTAAAAACTATCATCTGTTGAGTCTCAGCATAGCAGAGAAATGTCCAGTTATCTAGGGAAGCTATTAAAACAGTCTACCCTTTCTGTCATGTCACTCAGAACAAACAAAGCAGTTGGGCATGGTGGTTCACACCTGTAATTCCAGCACTTGAGAGACTGAGGCAGGAGGATTACTATGAGTCCCAGGCCAGACTGGGCTACAGAGTAAGATCCTGTCTCAAAAGAAAATAAAAACAGAACCAGGGTGTAGCTCAGTTGGAAGAGTGCTTCCTCAGCACATATAAAGCCATAGGTTCAATCCCAGCACCCAAGAAAGTGTGTGTGTGTGTGTGTGTGTGTGTGTGTGTGTGTGTGTGTGTCTCCCCATATGGAGGCACAAGTAGAGGTCAGAGAATAACCTGTCGGAGTCGGTTCTCTCCTTCCACCGTTTGGGTTTGGGGAATCAAACGCAAATCATCATGCTTGGTGGCACCCACACCTGCCGAGCCCTCACAGTTGGTTTTTAAATACTGTCTTTGAATCACCCAGCAACCTCACCAAACGTAGAGATGTGATTTATCTCCCCTGTCCTTTGGCTGTGCCACACCAGTCTTGATTCGTGGCTTCTTCTGCCCTTGTTCTGGTGCTCTTTTTGCCTTCCTGCTGAGCTCTGGTGCACAGTGGAAGTGTAAGGACAGGCATCTTGGTTCTTCAGCTCTGAGATAGTGCAGAACCTTCAGCATAGTAAAGAGGCTCCCACCATTCCTTCCTATAAGTAGACTGATTTTTTACTAAGTGCTTCTTCCATATGGATTGATTATCTGGTTTTTCTGATGTGCTAACTTACTTTGTTTTTCTAGTTAACCCTCACTTGTATTCCTAAACCTAACAGGGTCATATTATGGAGTATGGGTCAAGTGCTAGGATTAAAGGCATGAGCCAGCGCCACCACACCTCGCCATATTATGGTTTCATATACCATCGGATTCAGTCCGCTAACATTTTGTTATAGCACCTTTGCATTTATGTTGAGAAATGAGCTTTCGCATTGTGAAATGAGCTGAGGTCAGCTCTCCTTTGTATTCACAGGGAGTCTTCCTGTAAGACTGAATTCTTCTTTGATCTATGTGCCTACATGAAACCCAGGTACAAACCCTGAGCTACATGAAACCCAGTTTCAAAAAGAAAGTTTAAAGCTGGACGTGGTGGCTCATGCCTTTAACCCCAACACTGGGGAGGCAGAGTCAGGGGGATCTTTATGAGATTGGGACCACCCTGGTCCATAGAGCAAGTTCCAGGATCAGGATCACTGTGGCTACAGGGAGACCCTGCCTTAAAAAAAAAGGATCACTGGGGCTAAAGGGAGACCCTGGCTTAAAAAAAAAAAAAGAAAGAAAAAGAGTCAATCTCATCCCTAAAAACTGATTACACCTTGAGTTGAGGCTTTTGGGTTTTTGTTTTTGTTGTTCTTTTTTGACACAGGGTCTCCCTATAGCCCTGGCTGGCCTAGACTCAATGTGTAGACCAGGCTGGCCTCAGTTTCACAGAGATCCACCTGCCTGTGCCTCCCCAGTGCGGGACTCCAAGGTGTGTGCGACCACGCCTGGCTTTTTGTGTTTTGTTTTTGTTGTTGGCTTTTGGGTGTTAAGGAAATAGAACTATTTGGGTTTTTCATTTTCTGTTTCTTCAGATTGTGTTTTTCTGCAACTTGTCCTGTTTCATCTACATTTTCAAATCCGGAGACGTTTCCTTGACCTCCACCATGCAATTGGGCTTTCTCTTCTGTTTTCGTTGTCGGTTTTTGCAAGCAGGTTGTCAGTTTTGTTTTTCAGTTTTAGAAGCTTGTTCAAAGAACCAATTTTGACTTTTCTTTTTAATTATTTATGTGTCTGAGTGTTCTGCATGCATGTAAGTGCACCATATGTGTGCAATGCCTGCAGAGGCCAGAAGAGGGTGTCAGATTCCCTAGAACTAGAATTATATTACTGATGGCTGTGAGAGTCATGTGGGTGCTGGGAAATGAACCCAGGTCTTCTGCAAGAGCAGCCAGTGCTCTTAACAGCTGAGCCATCTCTCGAGCCCCCACTGCTTTCTTCCTGGTGATACTGCTTTAGCCAGAGTCAGCCAGCCTTATGTTAGGCTTATGAGGAAAGCCCATTTGCAGTGTGAGAACTAGATGAAAACCAGCTGCTTGTTGCCCTTTCTCCAGGCACGGGGGCTGAAGAAGCAGGTCATTGAGGATTTCATCACCCAAAACAAGTATCTACTGGCAGCCCGGCTCACCAGCCAGAAGCTGTTCCATGAACTCTGCCCTGTGAAGCGGTCTCACCGACAGAGGAAGTAAGGACTCAAGGCTATGCCTCTCACTGAAGGGGGAGGCAATGACATCTCTCTACAGGGCACTTAAACCTCTACCCTATGATGATGGTGCAGTGTATTAGTCCAGGGCACCTTAGTACCATTTGGTTAGATGTGCTAATCTGGCCTTGGGGTGACTGAGCCCAAAGTAGACCCTTCAACAGAGACCTAAGAGATGAGGAGATTGCAGCCTCCTGACAGGTAAAGTGGGTTCTTTAATGAGTCAGTTAACTCCCCTTTCAGAGTAATCTCCTCTGGGCAAGTTTCTAGAGGAAAGGTCTTGATGAAGTAGTAAGAAGGGCCAGGCATGGTGGCACATGCCTTTAATCCCAGCACTTGGGAGGCAGAGGTAGGCAGATCTCTTGAGTTCTACCAACCTAGTCTACAGAGCGAGTTCCAGGCCAGCTGAGGCTACAAGGAGACCCTGTCTCAAAAAGACAAAACAAAAGGACAGGGAGAGCAGGGAGGAAATGGTAAGGTAATTGGCTGATAATTGGGAAGGGTAAGGCACATATATTCAGTAATGTACAGGGTTATAGAAACTAAAAGGTCTGGGCTATTTATCTGTCAAAGGTATATGGGGATTTTTCTTGGTATTTGCCTCCCTAACCCCTTCTTTTAGTTTTTGACAATTTCATAAATATAT